ATACAGCCTCTTTCGCCAGTCTTAAATATGGAAATGACTATAGACTTTTTAGTGAGGGAGAAAAGATGCCTTTTGATATACATACATTAAAGATATGTGTAAGGGGAGGTACCATTATATATTTGAGAAGCTTTAATACTCTAGCAGAGATCCCATCCCATCCTGCACCGCTGTCTGACTTAAGGCTTAAAATGTACCTTTCGATTTCCTCTTCATTAGTGTTTAGGAGAACAAACGAGTTACACCTTGATGTTCTTTTATTTATATTTTGTGGAAGTAAGGGAATATTTAGAGGAATTTTACTGGCTAATTCAGCACCCATTTTGGCAAAATATACATTAGCCGCGATTACAGATTGAAGAGGACTTATATTAGCTTTAAGAAGTTCCAGCGGTAAATTTTTACGATGGTCTAGATCGTTAATTTTTTTTATAGCTTTCCAAATTTTTTTTGTTATCATTACCTGCTATTTTTAATTCGTTGCTTTCATAATTTCTTTTACATTTTTTAAGAATGTTATTGCAATAGTTTCTATACCTTAAGTACGTGATTCTGAGTGTCTCATTATGGGGGTCTTTTTTTAGTTTAAAGTGCATTCTGTCTCTTGTTCTTATGCACCTAAGTAATCCTATTGTTATCCAAGGTTTTAATGTTATTTTGCTCCTAGGTAATTTTATGTTAATAGAATTTTTTTAAATTAATTTTTGTAAGCTTTCAATAATAAAGTTAATGGATTGACTTGGATTCACATCATTGTTAAATATTATATTGAAATCAAACTTTTTGGAGCTTTCAAGTAAAGTCTCATAATTTATTTTTTGTTTAAGTTTTATTCTCGATTGCATTCAGCATTTTTTGTTTTTAAACAGAAGAACACAGGTTCATGGTCTGTAATGGCAGATTGTAAAATAAAAGTATATGAACTTAATTTCTTTTTTAATACGATATGATCTAAACAACTATTACCTCTAGTAGGTGTGTAATAAGCAGGGGTCAAACCCAGGAAAGATAAAGTTTCGAGATAGCTGGATGTTTTTTGGTTTAAATCTGCAATATTAATATTTATATACCCTATAATGAGGATGTTTTTGTATTCAGTGTGGTTTACAAGTATATTATGCAGAGACTGAATAAAATTGTCAATGTTATGAAAACTGGGGGGTCTGTAAATGGCAATTATGATAGTGTCTTTATTTATTTTTAAAAGTAGCGCTCTAAAATATTTAGCTCTTCAATTTTAAAGACAAGATCATTATTAATCAAAACGACTACACCGTCGTTTTGATTGTAGATAGAAGTAGTACTAAAGGTAGAACACCCTGGCAAATAAGGTAAATTAGTAACATGAGAGAGCCAGCATTCAGACAGAATTATAATATCACAAGTTATTTTTTTTATTATTTATTTAATTTCAAGTATCCAAGACTCATTTTCATTTACATTACTTTTTTTAAATTATAATTATTAAAAAAATTAAAATCTAATAATCTAACAAAATATGACGAGACAAATATATTAAAACTATTAAATTATTACTAAATGCCGTAATGCACTTAAACAGCAGTCAAATTAGCTGCTGGGCATATGCAGTCTACAATAATGTTGCAGATAGGGACAGTTCACTCTGTCACCTATCATTTTAAGAATGCCATTGGGGCTGGCCCTTACCCTACGCACCAGCGATGCAGCTCTTTTACGCAAAGTTGCGTAAAAACAATCTACATGTGCTTGAGCAAACATCGCTGATGCGCTGCAGCGTCGGGATAGCCCCATCAGCACCCGGAACGCGTTGTTATATTGGATCCGGAGAGCTTCATAGGCCCGTTGCGTGTAGTCCCTCCACAGGCTGCACGTGTAAAGAGATGTACAAAACACTCTAAATAAAGTGAGTTTAACCTCCCTTGAACATCTCGCGAACCTACGTGCAATCATATTTGCACGAACCGACAGAGCCCTACGTTCCCTTTCTATGTTAGTAGTATCCTTGAGGTCGGAAGTAATCACATGACCCAAATATTTGAAAGAGTCAACCCTAGTTAATGGTGTGCCATTCAATTTAATAGGAGGCACATTACACGTACGATCCCGTCCGGCCCCAAAGATCATATACTGACTTTTTTGAGCATTGTACTTCAGCCCATGTTCGGCTGCGAATGACTCACAAACACTAAGCAATTTTCTTAATCCACATATTGATGCACTCAGCAGCACCATGTCATCTGCGTAACTCAAGTTATTTACACAAATTCCATCTATATGACATCTGACATGCATGCTGCTAAGCGCCTCAATAAGTGCATTTACATAGAGGTTAAAGAGACTGGGTGAGCTTAGCCCACCATGTCTCACCCCGCACTCCAACCGGTATGGTTCAGACAAATCATTAGCCCATCTAACGCAATTGACCTGTCCCCCATACCAATATTTTAAAATCTGTATCAGTTGACCTGGTAATTTAATATCCTCCAATTTTTTCCACAGTATATTGTATGAGACCAGATAAAATGCCCTCGACAGGTCAAGGAAACAAGCGTAGACAGGTGTTTTCCTATCAACATAATATTTGACAGTGTGCTTCGCACTTTCTGTGGACAATCCGGTACGAAATCCGAACTGATTGTCATGCAGTTTTAGATATTTATTGATCTGAGTATTAAGCACACTGTCCAATATCTTTGCTACGATGGTTGCCAAGGATACTGGTCTATAATTACATTTATCCGACAAGTCACCCGTTTTATTTTTTACCACCGGTACTACTATGGTCTTGATTAGATCAGGGGGCTGATATGCATACCGTAAACATGTAGTGTAGAACATAGCCAGTACGCGGTGTATATGTGAACCTGCATACTGTAGATGCTCGATACTGAGACAATCATGACCTGGAGACTTGCCCCTAGACATAGATTTTATGACTTTTACTACATCTTGCACACTTATTCTGTCCCCTACTCCATCAATGACTGTCCCAGCATCTTGCACCGATTAATAAGAATATGACCCTACTGTCGACTTTACAGAGAAAAGCTCCCTAAAGAGGTTGACAATATCCTTTGGGTTACTCACCCCGCCCACACTCACGGGAAGGCCAGGCCGAATTCTCATCTTATTAGTGCCTTTCCAAAAAGCACTAAAATCTTTTTTGGTATGCGATGACACTATTTCATCCATTTCAATTTGATGCTTATGATCTTGACACCATTTTAAGCGTGATTTAAATACCTTTCGGGTGCTACGCATTTCATTAAATAATTTGCCATGATTGGGCCGTCCATTAGCCATCCAAAGATAAAATTTCTGTCTAGCCTCCCCATGAGCCTCTCTACCATGTCTGTTCCATCCTACAACGGGTTTTTTTGGCCAATGTTTCTTGTACCCTTGACTAGCAATTGCGGCCTCACTTAGGGCAGACACTATGTCGCAATACAGTTTGTCAATCATAATTCTATGCTTTATATTTGTACAACATTTGTCAGCACAGTAGCGAAAATCCGAAGGGAAATATATTTGTCTTAGCTTTCTGTGGCACATATCGCTATAAACACTTTTCTGACGTTCGTACCTCTTTCCCCATATAATCTGGCGATTAATATAAGATGTTAGTGTATTATAATAATTTAATTTTGGTATTAATAACTCTAAATCGCATTCGATCATAAGAGGGAAATGGTCCGACCAAGTCACGTCGTATTCAACATAAACATTGCATACTAAGGACACAGCAGATTGTGTTACAACACAGTGTTCCAACCATCGCTTACAGCCATGTGATTGGCTTAAAAAAGTGTATGTGCCGAAGGATAGACCTAGAAAGTCAGTATCAATACAATGCCAATTTTGTTCACTACAATATAAGTTCGTTGAAAAATAGCGTATGAGGATGAGAGTTAAAATCGTCCAATATATATACAGAGTCAATGCCGTATCATCTATTACAGCACTTACCGCACTGAGACAATCGGAGTAATCAGGTAGATTGTCCTTACAATTCGTGGGCATATATACACATATCAATAATAGGTCGATCTATCGTCACAATTTTAATTGCGCACAAGCGAGCATTATCGCAACGCAACACATTTACGTCATGGAAAACTGCCCTTCTCCATAACAGAGCAACTCCCCCATAAGGTCGACCGCACAGTAGTTCCTTCGTCGTATCCACAGCAGAAGTACCTGTTGATCCAAAACCATCATCGATCGAGCTGAGATACGGTATCTCATCCGGTAACAGCCAAGTCTCCTGGAGTGCAATTAAATCTGCGTGTCGACAGAGTTCTCTAATACTGTCCACGGTGCGTTTCACGTTTTTACAATTGAAGCTAGCAAATGTTATTGGTCTTTTACTTATTGTTCAAATGTCAATTACCGTTTACAGAAGAGTCTCTGTTCGCATTTCTGTGTTTGAAGTGTACAAATTTTCTAAAAATTATACCCTTCCGCCATATATTTGCATCAAGAAACAATGGTACTTTGTCAGAATCCACAAAGAATTTATAGTCTTTGTGATCGGTAGCCTTTTTTATATGAATTTTTTCTAGTGACACTGTTTCCTGTGTTTTCGTTTTAATATAATTAATTATGTCGCTTTCTTCTGTATCTTGATGTATGTTCGTAATAAAAATTGGCGATTTACGTATTGCAGCTTTAAATTTTTCATCTAAATCGCTCGTATTTATACCCACTTGACCTCTGTATCGATAGTTAGGTTTCTTTTCATGCTGAACTTTCTGCCATTCATATTCATTTTTCGAAATTACGTCGTCGATGCAAGCACACTCTGATTCCCCAGCATTATTCAATAAGTTTGTTTTGTTACTTATAACTTTCTTACTTGTCATACTTGCGTTCTGACCGGTTTCGCATGACTCAGATTGAACAACTTGAAATGGTTAGTATTATGATGCGATGACAACGGCGAAGATACCCGTTCGTGTAAAATATTATGTTTTTGGCCGGTAGACTGATTATTGTCTACTTTCTTTCTTGGGCTACAACTAGGTGATTTTTTCGTCTCGTATTAGTGACGACGATATATTTGTATTCTTCATCTCTTTAGACCTAACTAAAGTGGAATCATGTATAGCAGACATACCTATTGGTCCACTATCAAGGCTCCAAGCACTCAGCCTTGGGTTCATATTACACGTGCGCGGCGGATGAATATCCTTCATTACCAATACTTTACTTTCAAGCTCTTTATGCTGTTCAAGTGGAGTGTACGTCGACTTTATGCAGTCTATATCGAAACGTAATTTTGTAATATCCTTTAGTAGTTTTGTACAGTCAAGATGATCGAAGGTAATTGGTGGTAATTTTTCTAACTCCCTTGCAACAAAGACAGGAATCAGATCAGGTACACTAGTTTTAAAAAGCTGAATAATATCCTGCCGGTCACGTTTTTCTTTTCCCTCTCTCTTACGTTGTATTTTTCGCTTATCCGATGGTATAGCATCAAAAAACAATGCTTTCGACTTTTGAATCTCTGCACTGGTAAACGCCGAAGAACACAAACGCAACAATGATTCTTCATCCATCACAGATATTTTGTTCTGGATGTAACATAACAGTTCGTCTATGACGATATTACACACGGAACACTTTAACGTCTCCGACATTATGACGCACGACCAATTTGTCGTTCGTACCGATAATTATACTATGAAAGGACGCGTGCGTCACAGCTGAGCGCAAGCGCGGGACTGATTGGGCTGATTTAATTTCATTCTTCTCTTCTCTTCTCATTTTTATTCTTCTCAATAAGACATTAAAATTATTATAATTTTTGTTTATACTCCTAATGTTTTGTTGTAAAATTTTTAGGAATAAATTAGGGTGTAGTATAACATTTTTGCAATATTCAGGTTCGCATACTTCAAGTTTCGTTATTTCATAGTCATCTATAGTATTAATAATATTTAAGTCTTCTATCGATCACAGTAAATACAATTAGGCTACTGATAAAAGGTTTCACAAACAACTTTTTTAATATTTTATAAAATACCATTTTTAGTTTTATATATGAAGAGTTTTCATGTCTTTTTTTATGTGTACGTAAATACGTCTTTATTATTTTAATAATTGTTGAAATTTGATAAAGTCGTAGAAAGTTGGTTACATTAATAGTTGTGATAACAGTACTTCAGAAAGGTATGTTTTGAGAATGTGTACGTGTGGGAATATAGAAAATACATTTTGTTAACGTTTTAGTAAGATTGAATGTGTATAACAGCATTTTTAGTCTATTGAATGAATTATAGTGTATAGTAAGTAAAGTAAATAAATAAATTATATACAAAAATATAAGTGTGTATGAGATACCTATGATACAAACTTATGTTGTATTTATGTTCTTGAGGTATTGTTCGTTTTTTATACGAAATAGTGCTTCGCCTTCTTTCTTTCGTAAATATATGGTACCTGGCGTGGCCTAACAAAACTTGTACTCGTTTTTAGCAGCAAAATCTCTTGCAAGATAATGCAGGCGTTTCATTTTAGATGTTAAAAAGTCCGTGATAAATATTAGTGTACGCGGGCCTTCGAAGTTTAGGTGTTCTGTGCTGAGCCCTTTTCTATTGTTTTCCTTTTTAAACATTTTTAAGGAATTTAAAAGTTTGTTATTTGTCATAACTGATGAAAAGTCTACTATGACTGAATTTTTGGACTTACTTTTCGTATAGATTTTTTGAATATTACGTATGTCTGTTTGTTACAATTTAATTTTTAACACATTTGCAAGCGATGTTACCAAATTTTGCAGATCTTGGTCTGTTTCTCTTTTTATACTCGGGATATTTCTTATTTCTATGCATGACGCACGATTGTTTCTCTCCAATATTTCAATTTTATTTTCTAGATTTTCAATATAAATTTTGTCCACTTTTTTCTCTTGAAGTAAATTATCATTCTTATCTTTGAAACTGTCATATTGATGGGACAAAAACTCGAGGGAGGACGAAATATGAGTGCTTTGGTCCTTAATTGTATTAATTGTTTCTAATAGTGTTGCGTATTTCTCGTCCTGCGTCGACGTCCAGTTAGAAAACATACTTTCGAATTTTTGCATAAGAAACTCGATGTCATCGCCTTGCCTCAGCTTCTGAGGTTTCATAGTTATATTTTTGTCCCCTGATAAATCTGGGGATGACGAGGAGCAGTAAAACTGAATTCGTTCGATTGGCATAATGAAGAATAAAATAAACTCCTTTCTCCTTTGTGTCAAACACAGCGTTTTCTATCACTTATAGGTGACTTATTTACAAAAAGTGTAGTCCTATTTGTGGTCTAAGATGCTACTTTTCGACGGCCATATTTTTAAAAGCATTAACGCAGGAAAAGCTGCTAGATATGAAGGAATGTCGAAGGAAAGTGGATGGTTGCAAGCATGTTGATCATTTTTTTTAATTTATGCTCGGAACTTCAGCGAGTACCGGAAGAATAAGCTGAGCACGAATGCACAGATACATGGTGCAGTGCCAAATGGATATCCGTACATATTTCGTTACCACAAAATTCGTGTCGTCACTTACCGAAATGCGAATAAGTATGTTATGTATACCAGGTAAAATATTAGGTATCGTAAAAAAAAGTTGAACTCAGTCCCTTCTGTTTCTATTCTTTCCGGAGCATCAAGGTGCTGAAGGAATAAATGCTTCGATGTATATCTTCCCAAACACTGCAGTTAGGTCCTTCTTATTCCTTTTATACAGGTTGCAAGTTAAGTTTTATAACTTATATCATTTAAATATACTTACTTCGTTTAAAATTATTGTTTTAATTAACTGAATTGGTAAACTAAAGTAAAGTCTACCTGATGATAAATGGACACTGCAGTCCATTTATCATCAGGTACACTTGCAGCCAAATTCAAATAATGAAAGCTATAAAATCATTGTTACTTCTGGAAGTCTATGATGCAAAGCCTCACAGTCTGTAATACTCGTAATACTTGCTCTATATATGTGTACCCCGTCAGACGGTGGCCGAAATATGTAAGAGGGTATACCTACCTAGATAAACTTTTAAGCAAAAAAGAGTCCTACTTCACAGCAAAATTTAATATAAAAATGAGCCTAAGATCAAAAGTCAAGGAGACAAATAAAATCACGAGCACACAAATTAACTTGTAAGTTCTTACGCCTAATGTGAGTTTTTTATAATGAGAATATATTTGAAATTAACTGTAGAGCTGTAATGAATGTAGAAATTTAATTGTTTAAAGCACATTAATACGAGTACGTGTTATTCTTCAGTATTACAATGGTACGAACAAATTTCTATTCAGCGATGTCGCATGAAGCTGCTGAGTGTACATCGTGTCTCAAAACTAAATTTCATTAAATTGTATTATTTCGTTTGTATATGCTACAATTTAAACAAGAAGTCTTGTCTTAGATAAAAAAAGTATAAGTTAATTTCATAATTTCCCATTTTTCTGACAAAAAATATTTTTTTATTAATTATATAATTAAAACTGTTATAATATGATACTTAGTATTAGTAGCAAGTATTTTTTGGTGGTGCTGTAAGAGAAACACCTCATTTTGTCCCTTGGGTGGCGTAAACCTTTTACTATGACCATGAGAATTACTAAAAATATCTTAAGGCTTCCGATAGATGGCGGTATAAACTTATTGATCCGGGTGAAAAATAAACAGACTAGGATTATCGAACAGCGTCAAAGGTGTGACGCCTGATACTGTCATCATCAGTCCGTCTGCTAAGCTAAGCAAACTCAACCATACCACTGTTAGACTTCAAGAAACAGAAAGCTCATTCAGCAGAGTTCGGATCGAAATTAGTGAATAAAATCTAAAGGCACTCCTTTACAAAACCCTAGAAACGTCGGGAGTTGACAACAAATTAAAATAAACACGATACCAACCGTAAATGAATTCTATTAAATACACCAATTTGTTTTTCACGCGGATCTTAGATGATTAATTATCTCAGATTTTATTATTTTAATTAGATGTGAGGGTGACAAGTGCGTATTGCCGGTAATGACACGTGACCTGAGACATGGACTAACAGCCAGCCATATTATGAGGACGATTAAGCTCAGTGAGCTTAATATGCAGATAGTCCCGTTATATGGGCCAGGATCTCTGTGCTTGTGCTCTGCGCAGGATCTCTGTAGAGACAATAGAATACAAAAATTTGAGCTTAAAGTTAAACAGGAATTATGAGAGCGTTGTGGCCCATGAGTAACTACATCTATACTAAATTGAGAATTAGGACCAAGATAAAGCTTAGTTACTAGTAAAAAGGGAAAGTTCGCGTCAGTCTAGATATGCGAAAAAGGGCAAATATTTTACTATGAAGCTGAGCAGGACCACGTTCTTGTCAGCTCAAGCCATCCCCTTAATCTTGTACTCATAATTCAATACAAAGTTTGTATACTACGAATGTGATGTTTTATGAGTACGATTTTTATTTCTTGGTCGATTTTTCGGAAACTGCCATTAAAAAAATATAAGAAAAAAAAGACTCGCAAATCCGTTCTAGGCATGCTTCCCTGCTACAACGTCTTTCTTAATTTTCCTACAATCGATTCTTACAACACTCCCGGGATGAAATGAGGTGATTCAATGTCTTACGCCATCACTATAAAATAACAAATAATAAATAATACTATACATTATGCAACGACGCTTTATTTTTATACTATAGTCCCATAAAATAGACTCAGAAGATATTTCATGTACCTCTTTATTCTTATAAAATAACCGACTATAATCCAGAATTCCGGAAGTAAGGAGCACATTTGAAATTTATTTAGAATCGGGATAGTTGTAGTGTATGTACATTTTCATATAAAATATTTAAATTACCGTGTATTGGTGTAAGATAATCCACTATTATTTTAATTTCTTTATTTATTTAAAATCTTTGTTGCACTTAAAATGTACTATTGCTGAACTTATTGACTTTAGGCATTCTCTACCAGTCAACCACGAGCTAAGCAGAGAAAATTAAGTAGGTGCCCTAAAAATATAAGAATATCTATACGTGAATGTAAATATAAAAATACACTTACCATACGTGTAAATACAAAAATAAATATATATAACTACAAATAACCTAAATAATATACGGTATACCTGAAACATAACATACATAATTTTTAAGAATAATTTTTATGCATCTACGCTGATGGATAGGAAGCCATTTAACTTAGAACGATATATGGATACATGATCGTATTTATGAAGGCCGAAAATAAAACGGTTGCAATTATATAACAAATGATCCAATTTGCACAGATGTACTTGACTCGCGTAATCAGCAGATCACATCAGCATAATCAATGACCGGTAAAACAAGTGTTTGCACCAACATAGCCTTAGTCTCGGTTGGAGGGAAATTCTTGAATCGGTGATTGTCACTCACAGACTTATTTCAGCTTCCTGAAATTGCCAACTTAAATAACATCAATCACTCACCCAAGGTCTTTCACTACATGTCTAAGAGGAGTATTAGTGCTATTGTAAACGATAGAATTAAATAAAGATGTTAATAGTTACTCTGCAACCAT